AGGATAGGAAGGTAAAGTGGGGCTGGCTTGCCAAACGACTTAAATATGGAGCTCAGATGCCTCCTTGGTTTTTACTTCTGTAGACTTTTGATGACTTTTAGAAAAGGTGATAATGTGAGGTAAGTAGCCCTTGAAGATTAATTTGGTAAAAATGTCTAGGATGGTGATTGCATTCTAGGACTAAGTCAAAGATGACTCTGAGACTTCTGAGGCTGAATATAATAAAGATAATTTAAGAGAAAGCAAGCCAGCCTTAGGCATTGACAAGCAGGACAAAAGGATGTTGTCGGGGGAAGGGGAAAATGAGTCCATGTGTTAAGGGGTGGGACTTCCATTAAGACAATATCTTAAGGCAGGGCATAGCACTAGTAGGAAATTGGTCATTCTGGCTCATTGTTAGGAAGAGTTTTCTGGTAATTCGCCATTCGCTTGCAATTTTATAAATCAGACAGGAATTTTCACATTTAAAAAAAAGAGTGCCCATTATGAATTACAGTTCTATAATTGTGTTGGTTCAGATAAGTTTGTTGGAATAGAGATCCCCGCCCCCCCCCTTTTCTCAGTGTTGAATTTTGCCCATTACGCACATCCTGTAAAGGGAAACTGTGTGACTGGGGGGCTCATTTCAGAGAACCTTTGTAATCTCTACATCTTTGGGAGGGAGGAGGGTGAACATTATGCTCTCACATGTGTTAAAACACCGTCTGGCCGTTCATCATCCTTGACTTCTTTTCATGATAGTTGGAGCAGAATGCAAAAAAGGGTAAATGGCAAACCACTGAACAGGAACAAACCACACGAGCGGCTAATTAGTCATTTCTTGTCAGCCAGGGCCCTGCAGAGGCACTAGCAGACAGCTCTGGAGGAACTGGAGAGATGAGGGTCTGGCATGGATATGGATCTTTTATTTTAGTAACAATAGTTTATTCTTCGAATCGGGGAATGAGAGCAAAGTTGCTTAGCAATTATGTGGGCGCTAAAAGAATGGCCTTTGGAGGGGCAGGCATTCGAAGTTGGATAAACTCAACTTTCTCAAGAAACTTGCAAACTCTGATTAGAGTGATTTGGGGGCAGTCCTTTCACAAATCAAGAACTTGTAATCTTCCTTCCTCCTGATTGCTTTTGTTCTCATCTACTTTCCAGCTTCCTTGTCTGGAGACGAGGCTAGTGCCTCTTGGAACACTTTCCCTCAAAGGCGGGTGCTGGGAGATGAGGGCTCCCAAGGAGAGAATGATCCCAAATTTCGAGGCCAATATGGTTTTTCAACACTGGGTTTATCTTGGCTCTGCTGAATAGCTCCAGTCATCTTGTTGGATGCTGGAGAACTGACCGGGTGGGGCTGCGGGGACACCAGTTCATCCCTGCACCTTAGCGGCAACATGCACACATGGCCAGAGTCACTTTTGTATAGGCAGGGCTCTCTTTTTCCAGAAAGACAGGGAAGGCGGCACAGCAGGAAAAGGGCACCAAAGTAGAAGGTTTGGGTTCTAGTCCTAGTTTCACTGCACATAAAACTCTGATTTGAGGATGTCCCCTCATCTCTAACTCAGACTCTTCATCTGTAAAATAGCAATAATATCTGCTCTCCCAGGGGCAAGACTAAAACCAACTAATGGATGATGTGAATCTACTCTAAAAAGCATGAACTGCTGTATAAGCTTATGGGGCTTTTACTTGTTACTAGTTTATATTCTGGCCTTCAGAATTTTGATTTCATTATATGTTTTACTTTTTACTTAAAAAAACCTGAGATACTGTCTAGGCTTTTATGAACATTGCTGATTTTATATATATATATATATATATGTATTTTTTTTTTGCAGTTTTAAAAGATAGCACACAGTTTTTTTTTCTCTTTTAGTTATAAAACCTTTTCATTTGTGTATTATTTAGTTTGTTATTTTGTTTGGGGAAGACTTCCCAATTCTGAGCCTTGCTAACAGTGAAAAAAGCTGAATTTCTGATTTAAATTACAGTTCTTTCTGCTGAATTCATGAAATGAGTTTGGGTTGACAGTTAAGGATTGGCCTTTAAAAGCATTATATTTAGAGACAAGTCCACAACACTTCATTTTGCAGTGAGGATACTGGGACTAAGCGAGTAAGTAGCAAAATATCTAATAGTTAAAAAGGGCAAATGGCAAACCACTGAACAGGAACAGACCACATAAACAGGGTTGGTACTCAGGTCTCGTCTCCTCCTCCAGGGTCCTTTGTGATAATGTACTGCCTCCCTCACAGTTTGCTTAACTAAATAAAGGTGGTTAAGAAAATTATCAATGAATTCAGTAATCCCTGTGTTTAACAAAAGTGCTGTTTAATTGTCCAAGGCTGAAGTCTAGAGTTCAAATCTAAATCTTCAGCGAGATCGCTGAATCAAACTAAGCACCTACACAGAGATGTTGTTGACTTTAGAAAACCAGAAACATAATGTTCCTTATTACTAGAGAGTGTATGACCAGGTATTACAAAACCTGAGTTCTAGTCTCAGTTCTGCTAAGTAACCTTAGTCAAGAAATTCAATCTCTTTGAGCCAGTAGTCACCATCTATAAGATGAGAAGGATGACAATATGGCATCAATAAGGCTGCTCCCAGGACTTTAATTGGAGGATGTATGAAACCCAAAGGCAGAGAAAGGGGTGCATGTGGGAGAGATTAGTGTCTCCTTTTTGTGCCTTGAGGATTTTGTGTTAATCAGTAACTTTTCTCATGTTTTTTCTCTATCTGGAAAGCCTTCCAATTGCCCTTTTCCTATCCAAAAGCTGTCCTTATTTTAAGGCCCAGGTTACATTTCACTTAATCTATGAAGTTACTGTAGCACACACTATTCTTTTTAAACTCGTTTGTTGCCTTTACATCTTATTCGTCTGTTAATCATGGCATATTGCTGTGGAATATGTCTTCCTTTTATAATCTCTAGGGAGTAGGTTAATGTAGAAGAAGAAGTATAGACTTTGAAGATAAATAGATTTAGCTATGTGATCTTAAGCTGGCCATTTATATATATAAATATATATCTTTATATATTTGTTTATATTTATTTATGTGTGTATATATATACACACACACTTAATTTTTAAAATAGGTAGCACATTTTTTTTAATAGGTAGCTTTTTTTCAAAACTTAATAAAAAGGGGAAGTACAGTGAAGAGTTGTCTTTTGCTCCTGGTCTGCAATCAAACTAGTTTTCCCCTCTGCTGTGTAGTTTCTTACATATCCTTCTAGAGTTTCTTATTTTTTCCTTCCTATTCCCTTTACATAAAAGATGGCATGCTATACACAGTCTTAGGTATATTTTCACTTCATTTATCTTGGAGATCTTTTTATGTCACTACACAGTGAGTTGCTCATTGTTCTTAACGTTTTATGGATGTACCATAAGTTAGCCATTGGTTGGGAATTTTTACTTGGGTAAAGCCCCAAGTAATTTTAAAACTGGAATGACTTTTGAGCCTTATCTGAGGAATATGCTTTTTATTTCTCTAAAACTTATATTTTGTAATGTGTTACAGTTTTTAAGCACTTTGCATTCTTTAAGTTGATCCCCACAAAACCTCTTCGGGAGTAGATAATTACTCTGTAGGTTTTACTAGGTTAGTAGAGAAAGGCAATATCTGTTCAGGATTTTGCTGACTGTGGTGCAAGATTCTTTAATAAAAGCTCCACCGTGCCCTTTTCATGTGCTCTACTACTGGCAAATAGAGGGTTTGCTTGAGAAACACAGACTGCTTTGTGGGGCTGATAAAAGTCTTCATTACTTCATTTATAACCATTTGTTAATTTACTTCCTTTCCTTTACTTACTTCCTTAAAACCAGTAGAGCATGTAGAAAAGGATCTCCACATAATGAAGCTTTGAGAAACAAAACAAATGTAGAAAGAAGATATGCAAATATGCTTTTTATAGATTAATTTTCAATCTTAAACAATCCTAACTGAAATATATATAAGCAGAAAAAAGTGACCTGCTTAAGGAATTGAAAGTGTTCATTGAGTTGAATGTGACTCCTTAAGTGATTAAGTGGGTGGCGCTGAGAAAAATAGAGACTATTTTAACCTGGGATTTAGCATCTAATACGATTCTCTGTTAGAGGAAGTACAGTCTTAGCTATGTAATTTGACCTGTTTAGAATGCACAAATGAAATGGAAGGGATTTAAGTTTTATTTTTAAATTTTCATTTACTGTGAAACAAGATTAGTACTAAAATAGTCCAAGCTGCCAACTCAACTACCTGTATGTTAGAGTATGCATTTATTATTGCAAGACCAGAGTGCAAATTTTCTACAAAATATTTTCAACCATTTTGGTGACTCCTGAGATATTTTTGCTATTGATTTTTTTTGTATTTCTAAACTGGGCCCTTGGTTTCTTTCTCTTTTTATATTTATACTCATATAGTTATCCTGAAAGCTTAGCCTAGCATCATAGAATTTTAGAGAAGTTTGGACATTTAGAGATTACTAATTAACATTTGGTATGTTTGTGTATTAACCCAGCCCTTTATACTGAACAAATGAGAAAACTGAAGCCCAGAGAGGTGGTGGTGGCCTGGGTCAGCTACCTTGTCTAGAACCCCCGGCTACAGCTGCACAGTACTTACCAGTTCTTCCTCTTACAGCTCTGATTGACTGGCTCTGCTCTACTCTGGGGAGAAGTTTAATTTTGATCACATTCTCTTGCTCTTTCTCCTCCCCTTTTCTTTCTAATGTGGGCCAATTAATAGAAGACTACAAGGAGTCTGATAGTCACAAATCTTACATGGAGTCCGGCTCATTGTAGGCACGTAAGAGAGACTTGTTTGAAGTGAACCAAAACTGGGGAGGGAATGAGAGACTCGTGGGTAACAGGTGGGAAGCTGGCAGCTGAGCAGTGCTCACCCCATATTTGCTAGTTTATTCTCTGTCTTTCTCTTACCAGGGCAAGGAGCTTGTGTTCGGATGATGAAGGTGCTACGTGCTGGTTAGTGGATGCCTCTAAACTACTCTCTTTCCCCTGTAGGTCCTTTCCCATAACCTGTGCACGGTGCTGAAGGTTCCACATGACCCTGTTGCCCTTGAAGAGCACTTCAGGGATGATGATGAGGGGCCTGTCTCCAATCAGGGCTACATGCCGTATTTAAACAAGTTCATTTTGGAAAAGGTATGATTCTGATTGTGTTACTGTGTTGTTTGGTTTGCACATTTCCACAGCTCCTAATAGGGAGTTCATTAAGGAGTTTAGATGTGAAGCATCATGAGATTAGATCAGAAGGGAAAGAAAGAATGAGAGACTGATGACAGTGCTTACTACTTCTCCCTCTCCTCTACCACCTTCTAAAACTTGGTTTGATATTTTTATAACTTGGCTTATTTTTTAAAATTAAGGACTGTATTTTGTATTAATCTGTACCTGTCTTTACTCAGGGAGCTTTTTTTCTTTTTAGATTCTGGTTCCACATGTACTAGCAATGACTATTAAAGCATGGGTATGATGAAGTAAAATGGGATGTTAATTATCTTTACTATATAGGTATTATGAAGCAAAGTTTTCATCCTAGACTTTTCCAGGTACTGCTTGGGTGTTTCCTCTGGGGTATGGATGAGTAAAGATGCTGCAAAAACCTATAATGTGTGTGGAAGCCAAATATAACCTATTGGCATTTGCTGCCGGATTCAGTTTCTCTCTTGGTTTGGATAATTTAAAATTGACATATTAAAGTGTTGAATTTAATGTCCTTTTTAAAAAAAATCTAAACTGACGGTACATTTAGTACATTTAGTGTCATCTTTCCATATCATGTATCTTTAGTTTAAATATGAAAGTAATTTAAGAATGTGCATATATGCATGTGAAGGGTTGGGAATTCTTTGCTTATTTATAACACCAAGCATGAAATTTTTGATTTTATTTCAAAAATACTTTTCATAAAGTGACTGATAATACTTTTAAATTAAAAATAAAGTACATTTAAAAAGTCTATTTTGTAATTACATAAATACCATAACTATTAACATATTTTTCTATGAATTAAAAAAATTTTTATTGCTATTTATATGTATAAATTCTTTTTATAGTTAAGTATCTTTTTATAATAGCAAAGTACAGTAATTAAAATTCATAATAATCAAGTTGGTGGTTGGTCAACATTCTTTTTAAAAATCACATGTTTTTCGGAAATTTTGTAGCAAAGATTGTCAAAATTACAGTGTGTTCATTTAGGTAGTATTCTTTGTGCCTATACCTATTATTCCATATCAGCTTCACAATAAATTTTCTGCTTTTTATTTGCTTATGTATATATATTATATATATATATATTTTTAAGTGTTTTCCCTGCAGAGATGATAACATTGCCTTGATCATGCTTTAAATTAGAAAAAATTGCAGAGAATGATACCACACCATCAGCAAACTCTCAAAAGCCACATATTGTATGGCCCCATTTATGTGAAATGTCCAAAATAGGCAAATGGAATTACAAAGTAGAGTAATAGCTGCCAGAGGCTGAGGGGAAGTGAGAATGGTGAGTGACTGTTGATGGGTTTGGGATTTCTTTTTCGGGTGCTGAAAATGTTCTAGAGGTAGATAGTGATGATGGTTGCAAAGCCTTGTGAATATACTAAAATTCACTAGGGGTGAATTTTATGGTATGTGAATTATATCATGATAAAAAGATTTAATCAAATTATACAGAAGCTGATGTGTGAGATTTCAGAATTTCATAGTATGATGCTGTACTATCTTCTGGAGCTTTTAGGGGCTGCTGTTCTATTCATTTATCAGGTAGCTCATTTGTGTTCTATAGCTGTATTATAAGTAAATATGTCTTTATTTTGTTTGTGAAGAAATTCTTTTTATTTAGAAAAATTTTCCCCAGCTTTGTTGAGATATTATTGACACTTAACCTATGTAAGTTTAAGGTATACAACGTGATGATTATAATGTGTATACTGCGAAATGATTACCACAATAAGGTTAGTTGTGTTAACATTACCTCCCATAATTACCTTTTTTTTCTTTCGTGGTGGTAACTTTGGAGATCTACTCTCTTAACAACTTTCAAGTATATAATACAGTATTGTTAATTATTGTCACAATGCCATGCTCTAGATCCCCATATTGATCTTAAAGCTGGAAATTTGTACCCTTTGACCAACATCTCCCCATTTTCCCTCCCTCAGCCCCACCCTAGCCTCTGACCATTCTACTCTCTTATTTCTCTGGGTTCATTCTTCACTATCCTACATATAAGTGAGAACATAACAGTATTTGTCTTTCTCTGTTTTACAGAAGTTCTCTTAGCCATGAATAGTTACAGCAGCTTCAGAATCCTTGAATTTACCATTTGATATTTCTGCGTTAATTTAAATAAAAGTCAAGAGGTTTTGAATACAACCATTTACACTCCATTAATAACCCCTGAGACAACTGGTTAGGATATGATGCATGCCCAGATCCCAAAGAAGGGGTCAAAATTAGGTATATCCCCCCTTTTCCCTTCCAACACCTGTTTTAATCCAGTTTAAGCCCTGTGACCTGGAAACAAGGCAGTCAGTTTGCATTGGACCATCAAACCCAAAGGACTCCTTTTCTCTGTGCCTCTAGGACAAAGCCTAGTTCCCTAATTTTTCCCTCTAAAGTGTGTGTTAGCACTTGGGCATCGTGGACTTTAAATCAATAAAAACAAAAATTTGTTGTCTTTGCTACTTTTAAAATATAAAAATATGTTTAAAACAGACACTATGACCTCATCGTATTTTTACTTTTTAAAAAATTAAAAAAAAAAACAAAAACAATTTGTCCAGTAAATATGTCTTATATTCAGCAAATATTTGATGACCTCCTATGGGCATGTGTTTAATCTTAAAAATTAAAGACAGTAAGCAGAATTATGTCTGTTACTAAAATATATAGAGCATGCTGAGAAATTCTGAGAAATCTAGAAATTGCTTTGTTTTCCAGTGCAAGAATTTGTGTGGGCTGGGCTAGTGTGGATAGTCAAACACGTTTTAATATCTTGAAGGTGCTGTACCCTAATGCTGCATTTTGTTCTCCTGGATGTAACTTTCTTTAAACATCTTGAATTTTTAAGTTTTAAAATGTTCTTTGTTTTTGTATTTTGATATTCAAAAGTTTTGTAGCTGGGGAAGAAAATAGAGTGGTATTTTAAAAGTCTGAAATTAGACACTAAATTTAGAGAAAAACTTATTCATGGAGTGAGTGAGGATGTGATGAAACAGTGAGCCCTTGTTTATTATTGCTTAGCCACCTGGAGTGGAATTTTGCCAGTCCTTCAATCCAAATAAAGCAGCCAAGATTTCCGTGGTGTGGGTTTAAATTGAGCAAAGATTAGTGACTTGTTTTGAAAGTTGGTTAAAAAAATGCCAATAGCGACTGAAGAATGTTAGCACAAAATTTAAAGATTGTCATCAGTTATGTAAAGAAAACATGAAATAATGATGAAACATTTGCATGATGTGGTTTTATATACTGTCTGATTTGATCCTCATGTTTATTTTGCAATGTGTAACTGGAATTCTTATGCTAACTCAGGAGGAAACAGTGTAAGGTTGCCTAGCTAATAAGGAGTAGATTTTGAACCTAACTGTTTATCTTCTAGCCCAGTGTTTTTTTAATTGTGTGTACTATTGAGGGATTAATTACTCCCTTCCAAAATTACTATGTTTTTCCAGTTAGTGGGTGTGTAGGGGCAGGGGTGGCATGGTGAGGGAAGGGGTGGAGTGGCTTAAAAGCCATTCTGACCATCTCAGACTATCTCAGCCTCTGTCTAGTTTCCTTAGCTTCTTTCTCAAGTGTTTTAAGGAGATTCTTTTCTCTTAATTAGTATCTAGTGTTCCTTAATGTTCATTTTGGTCATTTTCCCCCCAGGTTGTTTGAGAGGTTTTCTGCCTTTGCCTAGAAGAGTTGGGGTTGGGACCAAGAGATAAATTATAATGAAACTTGCTTTGTAAAAATAATTTTTTTCCATTTGGTTTCTATATTTGCTTCTTCAGAGAGAATCATTCCTGTTGATCTTCACACTGATAGAATTTATTTTCAGCTTTCCTGAGACTTCAGATGATTAATTTGCCTATTGTTCTTGTATCAAATATTTTGCCTCTGCTGAGTGTTAACTTTTTTTTTGCTTGTTTGTTAAATTCCTTCGTAGTAAAGAATGGAATTCTACAAACATATAGCAAAAATATTTTGTGAGCCTTTTCCACTTCTTTTGGGGAAAGAGACATTATGCCTGGATTATCTGATGATGAATAATTGAAGAAAGTGGTGGTATATTGTTACCTTTTTACTATTGAGCCCCAGTAGATTTCATCGAAAACTAGTTTTGCTTCAACATGTTTATGAAGCAGTATAAATCTTTCATGAGATTTAATGCCTGTTAGGCTTTTTGGTCCAAATCATTGTCAGTTTTCCCCCTAATTCTGTATGTTAAAAGTTGGTCTGGGCTATATGATTAAAACCAAGTCTTAATTGGGGAATCTACTGCTTTCTAACATAATCCTTCTGTTTGGTTCTCTTTTGGGGGTGGAGGGAAACATACATACACACACGCAAACGAAAAACACACAAAAAGAAACATTTTTATTCAATATAATGTTCCTTCTGTAGAGTCTAGCAGTCTCTACCTTCTTTTTTCTTCAGCTGGACATGATACTTTCTTATCAGATGCTTACTGTTCCTGTGTTAGTTATAGTTCTTCCATAAAGTGAGTTTTTAGATTTCTGGTAGTGGAATGAATGTGTCTTCAGCACTCAAAATGTCAGCAAATGTATGCCTAACAACTATTATTTAATAGGAAGAGGTTAACAAAAAATAATTTAAAAAGATAGAAAGTGGTACTGCTCTTAAATCTCCAAAACCATGCTTTTGTACGGTTCGTTCTTACTGTCCTTTAGCTTATGTTATTTTTTCTTTCATCGTTGCCTGAAAGTTACATAGTTTTAATTTAGCACAATGGCCAAGTTGGACTCTAC